ATTGTGGAACCATATGTTGGTCCCTTTTGTTAGTTACTCTTTGATTACCTTATTTAAATGCTCCCTCTGCTAAATTGAATTAAATTTTGGTATTCTTAAGTCAAGTTTACCTGGAAAGTTTTCTCTTAAATTAGAAATATTGTTTTGGAAGATTGGCATCATTGACAAATGGTGGACATCTTAAACCAGCCATGTAAGCAGAAAGAATGGTCATTCTGATTTTATTATTTTCTTAATTTTCTTAGAAGATGATGTGGGACCTTTGCATGCCTTCATCACCATTTGAGAGATCACTGCCCCATAGAAACCGTGTGCCTAAAGACAATCCTTTAAGTCGTAGGTCTTAGCACAAGGTTAGAGTTCTAGCTTTTCTAAAGTAGTATCTCATTGATGGCTTAAGCCTCTTCAAGAGGAGGCCTTTTTTGCCTGTTGTGCTGGAAAGGCCTAAAGCCAATCCTAGGTAACAGTAAAGCTTCATAGGGTTTTTTTGTTCAGGTGCAGTTAGTTTGCATCTTCATTGCCATGTCTGTTCTACTGCGCCTACCTCTAAGACAGTGACCAAACTGTTGCGCATTTCACGTAGGCTGGAACTTACTTGACAAAGAATTATTGCTACCTTTGGTCCATTAAAGTTACAGCTCCCATTCATTAAGGCTTCCGTTGCTGAATATAGATCATCATCCCATGCAAATAATAACTGAGCAAATTCCTATAATTACAACACGGGTGAAAAATAATATTTGATATCATGGATGGTATTCCTGTTAAGAGAGGTTGTTGAATTAGCCAGAAGTTTTGTTGAGGCTAAATTCTCTTTAAAGGTTTTTCTTCATGGACTAGATCTAGGCAGACTGCTAGATTCTTACTTTTAAACCAACGTTTAACCATTCATCATACGTTATGCTCTAGAACATAGCCTACCATGCACTGACCTCAGGCACGTGTGAGCTTGTCTCTGGCTTCTGACCTTGACTGAAAGCTTGATGACCATGTTTTAGTGTTTTTCTATTTTTGTCTTCTTTGAATACTCTTTCTTTATTCTAATTTTTCCTCTACCGATGTTCACTTTCCATTGACAGATTTAAAAGATCTGTGCCTTTTTAATGAAATGCCGATAATTTTTCTAAAATAATTTTAGGGATAAAAAATCCGCTTACCTTGATGAGCTATGTAACTCCAGTAATGGCAGGGGCAACTGCTCTTCTCTCTCTTGCATTGGATCCATGGGGGGAATTCAGGCAAAACGAATATTTTAATAGTCCATGGCATATTACTCAGAGTTGTTTACTAATGCTTTTAGGTGGCGCACTTGCTTTTCTTATGGTAAGAGTAAATGTTCCCTTTCCTAGGACATGACATTACAATATTAATTGTTTGACTTTATGCTTCTTTGACATTTAAGCTTTCAATTTTTTCCTCCTGTCAAATCAGTTTTCAAAGGTGGATCTCCTTTTTGCAGGTCCTAACAGAGTATGTTCTTGTCTCAGTAACTAGTGCAGTCACAGTTACAATAGCTGGGGTTGTTAAGGAGGCTGTCACCATATTGGTATCATTTTTTGACCTTTTCTATGCCAGTTTGTTGACATGAACATCCAGTGGCTACCACCCTTTATTTTGGTCTGTCTCATATATCCAAAGAACCTAGTTAAGGTGTCACTTTTGTGCTGATGTCATTCATGACTCATGAAAAAAATTACTTAAGGCTTCCAAGTTACTTGACACAGATTGTGCATTATAATTTGATTAGTTTTTAGGTTGTTGTATTCAGCTTTCTATAATATTGAGTTGATGGTTTCTGCATTTGCTGATTTGGCGGTGTGGTGGGGTTTAACAGGTTTTTCTATACGACTACACCCTAGCTGCATTGAAAATATTGATAATTGTAACTAGTTGTAATTAGTAAATTTGGTGAGGATGGGAGAAACAAATGTTTCATGCTGTTATATATTTTTCTACTCATTGAAGTGCTTTATATGCAAAATTAAATTTGATTTTTTTTAGGTTGTTAAATTGTTGTCATATATGTTTAATTTTCATGTTTGTGCAGGTTGCTGTCCTGTACTTTCATGATCAATTACTTGGTTGAAAGGACTTGGCCTCTGAAAGGACTTGGCCTCTTCACTATCATTGTTGGTGTTGGTTTATTCAATTGGTACAAGTAAGTCATTAACTAATGCGCTTCTCAACAATTTATTTTGGTATTTGGTCATAATTTTCTTCCCTCTTAATTTAATTTAGAGCCTCGAACTTCAAGGATGGTGATGGTCATGCTCTCTCTATTTTGAATGGCAGATACTTGAAGCTTCGAAGGGTGAAGCGGGTAAAGAGGATGTGGGTGGGACCTTCAAAACAGATTCGGCTACAAAGTATGTTATCCTTGATGAGATGGATGAGCAAGAAGAGAGTTCCTGATTTATGAAGTCATTGTTAAAAACCACCGTTCAAAAGTAAGTCGCTTCATGATTTATTCATGTTGATGATTGGAATCTTAATTTCTTTGGCCGCGTCTGGAGTCACCACAGACGCTTCAAAAAATTTCTGCTTTTCTTCCTATAACTTGACAATCTTGTGTCTTGCATGATTATGATACATCTAGAAAAAGATGGATTTATTCTTGAAAGAAGCTTTAGAGTTGCTTGATATACTCTGATCTTCATCCCATCACACTATAATATCTAATCCCAAATAAAAGAATGTTCTTTTCTGATGATAGCTTGGTTATCTGATGAAAGAACATTGCTTTCAGTACTGAAATATGCTTAATACTAACACTCTTTTTCTATTGCAGTCCCTTGTGTACTTTTTGAAGCTGATTGGGTGGAGAGAAGAGAGAACAAATTTCCCACATATAATAAACAATATTTTGTCTTTTATTTTGCTTCATTCATTTGACATTCTCTCTGAGATGATTCCATAGAGGCTGTTGTATATTACAGAACAATAACTTGCTATTGTGTTATAATGTTGAAATTTTGGTTGGACTGTGCACAAGTTATTTTAAATGCCGAATGAATATTTATAGATTCTTATTGGCTATCGATTTTTTAATTATGTCTTGTCTAATTATGAGTTCTATGAAAATTTAGTTGTAATATAAAATAATAGTCTATTGTTCTTTTTATTGTTAATATTTTCTTTCTGATACTACTTTTATTAGGGAATGCGATCTTTTGGATGATTGTCAGAAACGTAAAATGACGCATTTCTAATGATATAATTTATACACAATTATTTGTAATGGGGTTTTTTTTTCCTCAAGCAAATTTTTCTTTTTCCAATTGTTCTCCTAATAAACATGAATATGTTTTGTATTTCTTTGTAAATAATAATTATAAATTATATTGGGACGATAAAGTAAAGGACAATAGAAGAAATCATTAATTAATGCAGCATGTGAAAAAGTTAAATTCTATACAGATGTTACAGATGACATAAGAAGTCCATGCAGCCACGCCATCATTATACTTTGTGTACAACCTTCAATCATGGAAAAAAAAAACCAGATCGGACCGGCCGGTTCAACCGGTGAACCGGCCTGATGTCCGGTCTGGGTTAAGGAAAAAAACCGGCCAGGGTTTGAACCGGTGGTGAACCGGTTGAGCCGGTAAGAACCGGTGTTAAACCGGGTAAATCGCCGGTTTAGGCGGTTTATCCGGTTCACCTTTTTACCCCCTCCAGAGCCCGAAAACGACGCCGTTTCATTAAAAAAAACAAAAAAACTTGCAAACCGGTTCGGCAATTCCAAACACCAGCTCGAACTCCCGCAGTCCCGCACCGCAGCCTCCTCGAGTCTCGACCCAGCACCCGTCTCCTTCAGTCCTTCTTCCTCATTCGGTCTCTGGCAATCTCGATCTCGTCCTCCATCGCCCTCGCAGCCGCCGTGTGCTCAGCTTGCTACGGCGTCCTTAGTCCCAGCTCGCTGAATCTTGCCGCCGTGTGCTCACTGAATCTCCCAGCTCGCTGAAGCTCGCACACAGTTCTGTGCCCTCACTCTCGGTGTGTCGTCGACCGTCGTCCCCTGCCTTGCCTGAAGCTGCTCGGTGCCCTGCCGTCGCCATGCCTGAAGCTCCTCGCCTTGCCCGCGCCTGAAGCTCGTCGCCTTGCCCGCGCCGTCGGTGCCCTGTCGTCGCCGATCCAAATTGTTAGTGAGCGGCTGAGTGCTCGCCGATCTCTCCCAAGTCCAGCCTCCCAATTTTCGTTTGAAGTTTTGATTTTGAACTCTCATTCTCTGCTCTCGGCCACTCAGCAAAGTCGAACTTGGAGGAAGTGACGGTGATAATCTATTAATCTCTGCCATTCTGGTTTGATAATTATTTTTATGGTTTGATTTTGTCATTCTGGAATGTCCGAATTTGAATTCTGCTTCTGCGTGAGGAATGGATATTCTGTGAAAATTAATCTGAACTCATCAATGGATTCCAAAATTGATGCGTGAGGAATGGATATTCTGAAAATTAATGGTACTCTGAAATAATTTGATGCTCTAGTTTAGAATTACTTGTTTGGTTTCAAAATTGTGAACGTGTTTGGTTTAAAATTGTGGTCATTTCATTGTATATAATGAAGTAGTGAAATCTGAAACTATGGACGGTTGTAAAATTATGGACGGTTCCCCACTTTGTTCAATATGAAATCTGAAACTAAATAACTTGATTGTTTAATGATTAATGTTGTGTTAAGCTTTTGATTTGTTTTTTGAGTAGCAGTGATGGATATTTCAAATAACCAAAGTTCTGGAAATGACAACATGACTCCTAATACTGGATCTTCAAATCCTCCTACCGAAACCTCCACACCCACATCCTCATTACGTGCCAAAACTGATCCAGCATGGGCACATATTGCGTACAAAAAAGAAGGAACACAAAATATATATACGTGTCTTTTTTGTACTAATAGTTATAGAGGAGGTGAGATAAATAGGATGAAGCAACATCTTGCTGGCACTGTTGGTCAAATAGCTGCTTGTAAAAAAAGTTCCACATGATGTACGTTATAAAATGGTAGAGTCTTTAAAAGAAGGGTCAAAGAAGAAAACTATTGAAAACATAGAAGAGGAAGTCGAAGAAACTCATGTTGAATCACCAAATGTCACAAGTAGTGTGAGGAAGAGGAAAGCTTCTGGGAGCATAGACAATTTTTTTGCTCCTAGGACAACTCCTGATTCCCAACCTGGCATTAAGAGTGCATTAGCAACTAAAGAAGCAAAGCATAATGTGAAAATGTTGATTGTTGAATGGGCTATTGTAAACTGCATTCCGTTTAAGGCGTTTGATTGTCCTTTATTTCAAAAAGCTGTGGATGGCATTGCTTCAATAGGGCCTGGGTTTAAAGCTCCTAGTGCTTATGATTTTAAAACTAACTTGTTGAGTGACTGGAGAAAAGAATGTCAGTTACTCATTGATAGCCATCGTGCTAAATGGAAAAACAATGGTTGCACACTCATGGCTGATGGATGGACTGATATTAGACAGCGTACCTTGATAAACTTCTTAGTGTATTCTACACATGGTATGGTATTTGTGAAGTCTGTTGATGCATCAGATCTAGTTAAAGATGCCAAAACTCTATTCACACTATTTTGTGAAGTCATTGAGTGGATTGGTCCTAAAAATATTGTTCATGTGGTGACTGACAATGCAGCTAACTATGTAGCATGTGGTAGATTGATTAAAGAGAAGTATAAAAGTATTTATTGGTCACCTTGTGCTGCACATTGTTTGAATCTTGTATTGAAAGACTTTTCAAGCATGCCTCATGTGTCAGACCTCGAATCAAAGGCATCAAAGATAACTGTATTTGCATATAATCATATGGTTTTCTTATCGTGGTTGAAGAGAAGACCAACTTGGAAAGAAATTGTGCGTCCTGGTGCCACGAGGTTTGCTACCACATTTATTACATTGCACAGCATATATATGCACAAGAATGACTTGCAAGCTTTAGTTGTTGATAAACACTTTGTGGACCACAAATTATCAAGGACTGAAGCAGGAAAAAATTTTAGTGCATGCGAAGGGCGAAAATGGCAATTAAGGAGATGTTTAAGAAGAACAAGGAGCTGTATAAGCCCTACACAACAATCATTCAAACTCAATGAGACAAGCATTTAAAGACCAATCTTCATGCAGCATCATATTTGCTAAATCCTGCAATCACATATGCTCCAGACTGCTCTATCAAGTCAAAGTTAATGATGACTTTAATTGATGTGGTGGAGTCTTACTCAAACGAAGAGGTTGATAGCTTCTTGGTAATGAAACAAGCAACTACTTATCGTGAAGCCAAAGAATCTTTCAGTAGACCATCATGTCAAAAAGCAGCACAGAAACTTGACCCTTGTAAGTGTTTTATTTAATAGCTAATAGTATATTTATGGTCATTCACTAATTTTATATTTCATATTTTCATGATTTAGATGAATGGTGGACATATTATGGATGTTTAGTGCCAGAATTGCAACGTGTTGCGATGCGCATTCTTAGTCAAACTTCTTCTTCTTCTGGCTGTGAAAGGAATTGGAGTTTATTTGAATGCATGCATACAAAAAGAAGAAATAGACTGGAGCACAAAAGGCTAAATGATTTAGTTTTCACAAACTATAACTTGCGATTAAAGTATAGGTAATTTTATAAGTTATGAACATTTTTATTTTGATATGGATTTACATCTAATTAAAATTTTATTTGTTAGGAGTACATTGAAGAAGCAGAAGGCAAGCTATGATCCTATTGACTTTGAAAACATTGATTTGGTGGACTTTTGGGTGACTGAAGAAGATCCTGTTCCAGAGTTTGATGATGGAGATGTGGCAACATTTGAAAGTGTTGTCAACAATGAAGACATTTCAAATTTGACAACTCCTGGGAGGGATAATGAAGGTATTATTGTTTTAGTCTCTTAGAAGTTATAAATATTTTTATTTTAATATTGATTTACATACATTTAATTGACACTTTATTATTGTCTTATTTAGGTGGTGATGATGATATGAATATTGTTGAACCTCCACCTCTACAAGATGATGTTGCTACTCCTTCTAATTTTCCTCTTCCAACTATTGATGTCTCAATTCCTGACCCTGCTAATGAATTTAATGATGATTTTGATTTTTTGTAATGATGAAGATATATATTTGTTAATGTTAGTTTAGTACAATTAAATGTTTAAATCACTTTGGTTGTTTTTTGTATTTTGTTAAATGGTTATTACTGATGAATGTTATTTTTATTTTGTCATTGCCAATTAAATTATATTATTTTAATATGACTGGTTTGACCCGGTCTGACGCCGGTCTGACCCATTGACCCTTAACCCACTAGCTAGACCGGTTTAGTATCCGGTCCGGTTTTTTGTTCATTGCCTTCAGTATAAACTACATGACTCTAACACATCTCAAGTCAAACACAATTTCAAAATAAAGTTATATCTAATTTTTTTATTTGTTTAATTTTAACACACTGACATAAATTCAACACACTCTCACATAGCATTTAAACCACTAGCGGAACAAAGCTGCTCGACCGAATATTTTTTTCACTTGTTGAATACACCTAAAAAGAAAACAGGTTCATCTCTAATTCAGTGTCTGATTCACTCTCCGATTCTGAAAAAGAAAACAGTTAATTGGAAACTTAAATGTTACGTCAAAATGGCACGTGGACAAAAACAAAATCTAACAGCCTAATTTATCCTACGCCTTTTTTAAATTTGCTGTTAGATATCTATCTGTTTATAAAGATGCTAATAATGTGATAAAAATGTGTAAATGGTAAACATTGATTAGGTTGGGTTACGTACTTATTGAACTCTAATATTACTGTAACATGTCATTCATTTAATACAATATTTTTATAAAATGACAATTATATATATAGAAACCAACATCTTAAGGAGAATAAAAGATTCAAATTCAAATTTCTCATAAAGTAGCCAAAAAAATTTTTTTTGGGGGGGGGAGGGGTTAAGCAAGTGATTTTAAATAGAATCAATGACATGCAAAATTATATGTTTGATATATAAGACGACCAGATGGGAATGAGGTGCTGTATGGGACGGAGTGATATGAATAGTAAGTGCACAAAACTATTTCATTCATTAAAAAAAAAAAAAAAAAGCATCAAAAGAGAGAGCTTGAAAGGAAGAATGCATCCATATGGAAATAAAAAGTGTAGGTAGGGAAGTACCTGATGGGGAATTGTATTCCAATAGTGGAGTTATATTTGGACAATGTTGTATACGCATAGTACCAGATAGGAAGTTGAACTCATAACCTTCATATATCTCTCTCAACTTTGGCAAATTAATGAGACTCAATTTCTTCAATTTGGGGAACAGGTTTTCATGATCACCAACTTCACCTTCACATCCCTTAACAACTCCTTCAAGTTCAGAGCAATCCTTTATGCGTATTCTCTTTAGTGAAGGACAATGAGAAGCCAGACAATATGATGAGAACACCCATTTCACTTTGTTGCATGCAGTTATCTTAATTTTCTCAAGTTTAGGGAAGCAAACATTAGAAGAAGAAAGGTGCTTGAGTGATTCATCGCAGAATATTCCCTCCCATTCCTTGCAATCAGAAACTTTAAGTGAACACAACTCTGGAAGGCTTGTAACAATAGCAAGAGTAAAAACATTTCTCAACTTTGGACAACTCTTCAATGTAACATCTGTAAGTTTGTGGAGGCTCAAACTTTGTGTGGGGCCCTTCCAAATATATTCCAACACTTCTATATCTTTTAAATATGTAAAGCACAATTCTGAATTCACTACCCTTGCTCTCTCATTTTCATTTTTCTGCAAGTAATTATCTTCAATGGTTACGTGACAATTTGAAAGATGGACAATATCTATGAACCACATTAAATAGAACTATAAATTAACATTACAAATTAAATCCCTTTTTTTTCCGCATAATTTTAATGTTGTAATAACATAAAAAATTATTTGGCAATGTGAAAGAAATTATTTTGGTAAAAATTTTAAAAATAACAGAACAAAAGCAGTTAACGTTTTATCAGGAAAAAAATTCATCAATAAAAAATAACAAATACAGATTAAAAATAATAGTAGCATTTTATCATTCATGTTTACTATTTATTATGAGAAGAACAACAAGTTGAGCTAAAAATAATATTTGATTGTTTGCGGAAAATACTTACGTGTTGCGGACACTCCAATAATCCTCCTCCAAATATCTCTCTCAATTTCGGCAATTTCCTTAGAAATAATCCCTTCAGTTTGAGAAGAGGTAGCCGCCAATCCCCATCATGTGCTGCTTCTTCATCAACAACCCTTTCCAGTTCAGAGCAATCACTTATGCCCAGCCTCTCTAGTGAAGGACAATGATGAGAAGCCACAGAATATGAGAACACCCTTTTGATTTTATGGGATCCCCATATCTCAATATACTCAAGTTTGGGGAAGCAAACATTAGAAGAAGAAGAAAGATTTTCAAGTGATTCTTCCCAAAATATTTCCTCCAATTCCTCACAAGAATCTACTTCTAATGTCTTCAATTCTGGAAGGCTTGTGACAATTGCAAGAGTGAAAATATTCCTCAACTTTGGGCATTCCGCCAATTTAACACTTTCAAGTCTATGGAGGCTCACACTTTGTGTGGGGCCCTTCCAAATGTATTCCAACTCTTTTAGATCACTTAAAAATATAGAATACAACTCTGAATTCGCGGCCTTTGCTCTCTTATTCTCATTTTTCTGTAAAGTAATTATATCCAATGATTACATGACAATCCGAAAGATTAACAATATACATGAACCATATCAAATCAAACTGTAAATTAACATTATGAATGGAACCCCTTTTTTCCGTATATTTTTAATGTTGTAATAACGTAATCCCAATAAGATCAATTTTACTAATTTAGGCCTTCATATGTTATCCACATTGATTTGTTACAAATAAAACAGTATTGAATAATTACTTTCCATTTCCACAACAATGAGCTGGAGCGAAAACATTGATTAAAACAAAATTTGAAATAATTACTGCCCAAAATTTGATAGTAAAAACACGATTTTTTTCAAATCAATTAAAATTTTTAACAAGAAAAAATGGAAGAATTAACAAAAGGAAAAAAAATCTCTTTAAAATAGCTAAACGACAAATTTGACAAAGCAAACATGTCAATTTTTACGACACTCTTCACAACATAAAGCCAATCAATTTCGCACATTTGACAAAGTGGTGCACTTAGCAAAGTTAAAGAAATTATTTGACAATTTTTTTTAAAAAAGAAGAACAAAAGAAGTTAATGTTTTATCAAAATTCATCAAGAAAAAATAAAAAATTAAACCCCATTTTTTACATAATTTTAATATTGTAATAACATAAGTTTTATTAATTTAGACCTCCATATACTATCCACACATCATTGTCTCAAATAAAACAGTCTTGGATAATTACTTTCAATTTCCACAATAATGAGCTGGCGCCAAAACATTAAGCAAAAATTGAAATAATTAGTTCCTGTTATTATATTCAAGATATATTCTTAAAACTAATATATATATATATATATATTCTTTGGTAGGAAACACGATTTTTTAAAATAAATATGCCAATTTTTAACAGGAAAAGAGGTAGACTCAACAAAGGAAATTATTTGGCAATGTGAAAGAAATTATTTTGACAAAAATTTTAAAAGCAAAAGAACAAAAGGAGTTAACGTACGTTTTATCGGGGAAAAAAGTTCACCAACAAAAAATGAAAAATACAGATTAAAAATAATAGTAGCATTTTATCATTCATGTTTAGTATTTATTATCAAAGAAGCGACAAGTTGAGCTAAAAGTAATATTTGATTGTTTGCGGAAAATACTTACGTGTTGCGGACAGTCCAATAATGCTCTTCCAAATATCTCTCTTAATTTTGGCAACCATCGTAGATTTAATTCCTTCAGTTTGAGAAGAGGTAGCCGCCAATCCACATCACGTGCTGCTTCTTCATCAACAACCCTTTCCAGTTCAGAGCAATCACTTATGCCCAGCCTCTCTAGTGAAGGACAATGATGAGAAGCCACAGAATATGAGAACACCCTTTTGATTTTATGGGATCCCCATATCTCAATATTCTTAAGTTTGGGGAAGCAAACATTAGAAGAAGAAGAAAGATTTTCAAGTGATTCTTCCCAAAATATTTCCTCCAATTCCTCACAAGAATATACTTCTAATGTCTTCAATTCTGGAAGGCTTGTGACAATTGCAAGAGTGAAAATATTCCTCAACTTTGGGCATATCCACAATTCAACACTTTCAAGTCTATGGAGGCTCACACTTTGTGTGGGGCCCTTCCAAATGTATTCCAACTCTTCAAGATCTGATAAATATAAAGAACACAACTCTGAATTCAGTGTCAAAGGTTCGTCTCTTGCTTCAATAGATTCTGTTCCTCTGACTTGGTGAACCTCAAACATACTACCTTTCATTCCACTGTTACTAATATGTACATATTTCAGACTTAGGAAAGGGGTCCAGAGTTTCTGATTTCGTGAATGGTGGGAGCTATCTGCAGTAGTGACCACAGTCTGATTCCCCTGTACATACATACATATATGTATTCAAATTATAATTATGAAATGCACACAATAATATCAACTTTTCTCTCACTCTCATCGCATGAGTCAGAGATTAAACATGATTATTATATTACATAATGTATGTAAGCATATTATATATTCAGTGTCAAACACGATTTTTCCAGCAATAAATACCTGGCGCCAAAATCAATAGCACAGACTACAGAATTATTTCCTTAACAAAAATAGGAAATAAAAATATAAAGCACTATTGAAAAAATGAAAGTAATTATTTGGAAAATATATAGTGTTGCATTTGGTAAATTAAAAGTAATTATTTGACAAAAAATTTTAATATGAAAGACACAAATCCGTAAAAACAAATAGTATTTTCTTGTCTTGAAATAAAATGTAAAATTCCAATAGTAGTGCAATCACACACAGACATATGCAAACACTATGTATAGTGTTGCTACAGAGCTTTGAAATTTCAGAAACAAAAACTACATTTATATATTTGCAAAACCTTGAATTAAAAAAAATAACTGTTGCCTCTCATTTAGAATATGTTGGAGTACTTTTTTAGTCGTACGTATATTATTTGCTTATAAACGCGATTTTTTCAAATAAAATTTAAAAGTAAACATGCCAATTTTTAATTGAAAAAACGAGGTAGAATTCACCAAAAGCAAAAACAAAATACCCTAAAAATATGTGAAACTCTTGGCAATTGCACGAATTTACATTAGCCTCTAAAAACTAGTTTCCGCAATATATAGATGGTGTTAAAAACTGTAATACACATAACTATTTATTTGACCAGAGAGTTAAAACTAACAAATAGAGTGATAAAGTAGGCACATCAATTTCGCATGATAATTTAAAAAATGGATATAAAATTCAGCACCAAAAGAAAAGAAACAAATTTAGCTTACAACCTTTTTTCAGCAAACGCATCAACATGGATTACTATTTCAAATGTGCAATGATTCAAGACGAATTTTGCGGATATAACACTTACGTATGGGTAGTTTTGAAGGGACTCCCTTTGGTGCAGTAGAAAATCACCTTGCGCCTCTTCTTCATCAGTAAGCCTCTCAAGTTTAGGACAACCCCATATTCGCAATTCCTCTAGCGAAGGACACTGAAAAGCTAGAGAATAAGAGAATAGCCATTTCAATTTGTTGCAACAATCAATCTTAAGTTTCCTCAATTTTGGTAGGCTTGTAACAGTGGCATGCGTGAAGATGCAAGTTCCCAATTCTGGACACCTCTCTAGAAATAGCTCTTGTAACATCGGGAGAGAACATGTGACCGATGAATCTTGGAACACCCGTTCAAGACTATTCATTTTTCTCAATCTTAAACTAATCAAGTGGGAGAACACTTGTCCTGTTTGAAGACTGTTGGTGCTCAGGTTATCAGCTATGAATCTCTTCTCCACACAGCATGAAATTGCTAAGTGCTTTATTTCAAAATTTATATCATTAAGATCCCACCTACAATTGTCTAGCCAAAGGCAGTTTGCTCCAAGAATGAGATCTTTCATTGATGAATTCGAAACAGAGACTTCGAAGCCTTGTATGCATAAAGCTCTCAGTTCTTCAATGCAATGAGCATCAAAATATTCTAGAAGAGGAGGATTTGGATTCATAGGAATACTCATAGTAAATGTCATTGATGTGGTATCATAGATAACATACCTTTTTAACCTTGAAAGAGAGAAATTTTCTGACACGGCAAATTTCTCATCCCAAAAGTATAATTCTTCAAGTTGCTTGCATCTTCCAATAACTTCTAAAGGACTGTTCTCAATTTCACACCCAAACACATCCAACAGTTTCAATTTCTTCATATCTACAATTCCAATAGGTAATTCACCAAATTGAGAACCACGCAAGTCAAGAATCTCTAATCCTTTGAGTTGACCTAAAAAAGAGATGTCACCCAATGCAATTCCTCTGAAGCATAAGGTATGAAGATTAATTAATGATGACACAATTGATTGCCGCAATGACCACCCAATTTGTCTATGCCAACCAAGTCGTTCCCATTGAAAACTAGATGTTACAAGGACCAAGATTTTGAGCGCTTCAGTC